ATATATATATATATATATAGTAAGTTATATAATGAGTTCTGATAGTTACTGTTCGTAGATTTTAGGTGTATGTGTGAATGTGAGTGTGTGTCTATGTATGTATAGAGTGTCAGTTAAATTTTTCTTGGAATTTAGTTTCGTTTAATGTACTGCACATAATATGTAAATTTCAACCATAATAGAAGTTAAATGTATTTGTAATACCATAAAACCTTGAATTGAAGCACTGGCCGTCTTTTCCAGGATGCTTTTGCAGAATAAAAAAGTTGGGGTGGGGGGCTTCTTTTTAATTCAAAACGAATGTTGTAAATTTTAGGAATTACTCCTGAATAACAGCAAATAGAGCAACTTTAACATCAACCTGTATAATCCAGGAGCTTCAACTCGAGATGAGCTTCTTTCTCGGGATGAAGGCAATTGTGATTCTATTCGAGGTTTAAGGTACATATTTTTTAAAAAAAATATCAATTATCATGTTTATGAAGTAAGGTATGACTACTTCTCTTATGTAAATATGTGCATAAATCACACAGAGATGATATTCACTATTCACATATGATATATGTATGTATAGGGTGTCAATTAAATTTTTCTTAGAATTTAAATCTATTTGTAATACCATAAAACCTTGAACTGAAGCCCTGGCCTTCTTTACCATGATACTTTTACAAAATAAAGAGGTGGGGTGGGGGCTTTTATATTCAAATCGAATGCTGAGGCCTACACAGCATCTTTTCTCTTTTTACTATAATCTATAAATGAAAGATAGCAATAAATAAATTGATGCTCAGTTAGTTCACAATTTCCAACTCGAATCTGTAGCCTAATTATTGGAATAACTTTCCTCCCGCTTTGAATAACTGGTTCCCTTGAATAAACTCCCCCTAAAAAAACGTGAACAATAATAATAATAATAATAATAATAATAATAATAATAATAATAATAATAATAATAATAATTATTATTATTATTATTATAATTATTATTATTATTATTATTATTATTATTATTATTATTATTATTATTATTATTATTGTTATTAGTAGTAGTAGTAGTAGTATTACTATTCGAATATTAAAGGTATTAATTTACATTGCAATCACACGCATTTGAATTGATTGGGGGATCGTGTGGCCTCAATAGAGACTAAAATTCGCTCCAATTCACCCGAAAATGGTCCGAAAGATGTGACAGTTAGAGGGTTTTTTAATTTAATTTAGACTTCTAATACTGTTACTGTATATATAAATTTTTCTCCCTGGCGATATTTTACAGTACTTACTATTATTAGCGTGGAAAATATCAATTCAAGGGTTTTGTTTTACAAATATCAGTAGCCAATAGCTGGCCATAACAGTCTGTATGGTTCGTAGGCGGGAAGATTTCTTAAGTCCGACCAATCAAAATGAAGGCCATTGCTTAAGCCAGATTGGAAGCCTAATTAGCATACATCACCCTATATAAATGTTTACGAGACTGACTGCATGCACTGCATTTGACTTTTAGAGATGGCTGAGGCGACGGAGAGTAACACAGGAGTGTGTTGAAAGCGGATATGATTATATTAAAATTGAATTGCATATAACATTATTGGAGACATGGAATATATTATTTTCAAACGTTTCTTTAAACTATAGATCAGAAAATAAATATACTTTTTCATCTTCAAATGCTAAATTGATTGTAATATAGACATACAAGTTTATAGATTTTGAATTCTCGAAATTCCAATTCTATCATTTTACATCTCAGTCAAAAACCACTTCCCCTATTATAATTTCCCTGTATATGGAAGAACATTATTATACAGTCCACAATTCTAAGTAATTCACCTTGGCTCTTTGTTGATATACTGTATTCAGCAGTTTTAATGCATGAATGTTATTTCGTTGACGATTTCCTTATTCATTTGCTTCTAACTGCATTTCTTTTTTTAATGTTTTATATACCCACCAAGTGTCGTATTGTTATTGTCAT